GTTGAAAGCTGTATATGGAATATGGCGCACAAAGCTGATTTCCAAGGCTGAACCAGATAAGCTTATCCAAAACAGGTAGTCAAACAAGGGCATCCTGAGAATGTTGAGGGCTGAGATGCAAGGGAATAAAAGCTAATCTAAATGAATTTAGTAGATAGTTGTTAAAGCCTATTGAAAGGCAATGACCTGGTCTTGGCACAATCTCATGGATGTATCAGTACCATTTGAAGGAGTTAGAATGTGGTAATAAATCACACAACTTTTAAAAAGCAATAGGCTCAAATAAGCAGCTTACAATATAGAGTAATCATTTGGGAGTAATCATTTAAGCCTATGTACTGCACACCCACCTTCCTGTGTTCCCTTTGAAAGGATCAAAGAAACGTAAATATTAGGAAAACATCTGTACCATGATGGGAATTCTGAACAGTGTCAGGAAACAAACCTTTTTTGCTGTAAGCCACTGAAATTTGGGGGCTTTGTTTGTTCCAGCAGCATATTGATATGCTATTTTTCTAATTATAAAATGAATACAATAAAGCAACTTATACAAATATATGGAAATAGTTTGGCAGTTTATTCACCTAATTAATCACAGTGGTTAGCTTCAGAGAAGTAAAGAGAATAGTGCTAAGGAGGGTGGGTTAAAGGGACTATTTCTTTTTCTTAAAAAAAGACTTGAAACAAATATAACAACATGATAATTGCTAATTTAGGTTGTGGGTACATGTGTATTTATTATTCTCTATTGTGTACTATATTTTTAATATCTTAAAATTAAAAATAAACACAATTACAAACATTCACTGATAATGGGAGAATGTATAAAAGCATGGAGAAAATTAAAATAAAACCACCTATAACCCCACCATTAGGAGATGCAATTCTACTAACACTGAATGTAGATATTCAATGAATATATATACATATACATACATACACTATTTTTGCTAAAAAAGTTATAAAGACTTAGACTTATTGTACAGTCTATGTCCAGATTTCACATAACAATTAACATTTTTCTTATTATATTAAATATTATTTATAACACCATTATTTTCACAAGAAAATTTTTTTTTTTTTGATATGGTGTCTCACTCTGTCACCCAGGCTGGAGTCCAGTGGTGCAATCTCGGCTCACTGCAACCTCTGCCTCCCAAGTTCAAGAGATTCTCCTGTCTCAGCCTCCTGAGTAGCTGAGACTACAGGCACCTACCACCATGTCCAGCTAATTTTTGTATTTTTAGTAGAGACTGAGTTTCATCATCTGCCCACCTCAGCCTCCCAAAGTGCTGGACTACAGGGGTGAGCCATCATGCCTGACAAAGAAAAATCTTACAAAGGAGAAGTCAGAGTTTCTATTTCCCTCCATCACATATTATCATTTATCTATTATTTCTCAGTCTGATGAGTGAGGAACATCATCTTCTTTATTTTGCTATTTGTTGATTACCTGTTGGATTGTACATTTTTGCAATACACTTGTATACACTTGTAGCAGCCATCTGCCCTATTTGCCTGCCTGTATCTCCCTTTTAAAGGAGGAACTGCCCCTCTCCTATCCTACATGGTTCTGATGGGATCAACGCTGAAGTTGTCTTACCACTCCAGTTCCAGCAATGAGCAGCCCTAGTGAAGACCAATCAGAGAATCTCCCTGGGATCTAACTTTTGGATTCTGGGAAACAGCACGGGGCAGGGCATGGCCTTTAACTTCCCCAGAATTCATGAGGGGTAAAATGATGAGAGTCACAACTGTTCATAATCATCTTTTTGAGCTGCATAGAGAAATCCAGCTGCATTAAGAGCCAATAAAACCCACACACAAAAGGAAGAAGAATGAAGAAATAGAGATACCAAATAAAAGCGAGCCTTTAAACCCCTTCATATAAGCACATCTTTAGCCAATCTACTGATGAAATTCTCAGTACTTTCTTTGATATGGATACAGATTAGACATGCTGGAGATGGAGAGAGAGACAGAAATGGAGGTAGTTGTTGTTGTCATGTAGTCTAGTTTGTGTGAACTTTCTTCCCATCGGGATTTTGTTACATGAAAGGTGAAGTCAGGCAAAGCAGGTGAGTCCACACGGAACCACAAATATTTAGGGGATTTGCATTTATTACAACAATCGGAAGGAGTTGTTATAGGTGTAAAATATAAAAGGTTGCTGACCACAAATTCAAACTAATTTTTTTCTTTTTTGGAGACAGTCTTGCTCTGTCACCCAGGCTGGAGTGCAGTGGCATGATCTAGGCTCACTGTAACTTCTGCCTCCTGGGCTCAAGCGATTCACCTGCCTCAGCGTTCCGAGTAGCTGAGATTACAGGCACACGCCACCACACTGGGCTAGTTTTTTATTTTTTATTTTTTTAAGTAGAGACGGGGTTTCACCATGTTGTCCAGGCCAGTCTAGAATTCTTGACCTCAGGTGACCCGCCCACCTCTGACTTCCAAAATGCTGGGATTACAGGAATGAGCAACTGTGCCCAGCCTTAAACCAATCCTTTTCTACACAATCCAAGACAATTGTCTTCTTATAACATGCTTTGTCCTGCATGCACAGGCTCTTCCAATACCCTTTCCAGGTTTTTTCCCCAAAGTCTAACAGCTGCCTCTGGTTATTATTCACTTCATTAACATTGTCTTTTTAAATTCTATTGGCACTGTATGAGGAATGGGGCTCTTTCAGCAATGTCTTATAAAGCTGTGCATTATACATTCCTTAGAGATCGACCTACGTGAATGATGCCCTCAAGAAGTTCAGGCACAGTATCCCTGACCCCATTCGTGAGGCAACTAAAAGGTAGTTGGACACTGCTCAGTCCCAGCTATGCCCCTGCTTCATTTGTACAAATGCAAACTTTATTCCTGACTGAGTGCTACAAACAATGTTTTGTGGTCACAAGAAAGAAGATGTTCTGTGTCTTTTTTGTGACTTTCCTATCTTGCCACTTTGTCTTGCCGAACCCTACATGTTTTCATAAAATTAGAGACTTAACACATTCCTTTTTCTTTTTTAATAAAATTGAATGCATTTAAGGAGTTCTGACTACACAGCGTCTCTTATCTTCTTACCTATTTTTCTATTATATTTGCTTTTTTCAATATGCTTTTGTTTGCTTTCTATTTTATTTTGTAACATGCAAAAGTTTTAATTTATACATTGCCAATATACTTTTATTGCTTCTCCTTGAGTTGCTACACCTAGAGAAACCTTTCTTAACCTATAATATCATAAATATTTACCTATGTTCTCTCCTAGTACCTTTTAATGAGCACCTTTTTCATTTTAATTCATCTAGAATGTAGTTTTTAAAAATCATATGTGGATGTACAATTTCCAAAGACCTAGTAATGGTTGAAGAAGTTAATGTGTTGTTGTATGTAGGTAAAGGAGCCTCTAGATTGATTTTGTATTAACTGACTCACTTCCTCAATGTTGGCTTCAATACAGCCCTTGACATTCTGTTTAGACATTTATAGCCCAACATGAAGGACCCAGTTCAGCAGCCTGATTCACTGCATTTTGGTTTGGTTCTGTATTCACACTTCACTGCATTCAGACATTTTCTCTATTTTTTACATGAGCTAAGTGCTTACCGACAGGTAAGGCACTTCATCATTGATGTCACTTAGGCATTAATTATTTTCCATAGGGGCCGGGCGCGGTGGCTGAAGCCTATAATTCCAGCAATTTGGGAGGCCGAGGCGGGTGGATCATGAAGTCAAGAGATCGAGACCACCCTGGTCAACATGGTGAAACCCTGTCTCTACTAAAAATACAAAAAATTATCTGGGCATGGTGGCACATGCCTGTAATCCCAGCTACTCAGGAGGCTGAGGCAGGAGAATTGCTTGAACCCAGGAGGCGGAGGTTGCAGTGAGCCAAGATCGCGCCATTGCACTCCAGCCTGGGTAACAAGAGTGAAACTCCGTCTCAAAAAAAAAAAAAAATTATTTTCCAGATTATGACTATGCTATTCAGCACTTAGAGAGTGCTGCTTCTAATTGTAGTATGTTTTCTTACTCTCAATATGGCTATTGAATTCCTTGTTTAATTTTATTCTCAGATGTGCAGAAAAGGGGAAATATACTGCCCAGACATATAAGCCCAGGTGTGGCACTGAATGTTTGCATGTGTGTGTGTGTGTGTATACACATCCATACTTGAAAGTTATAATTTTAATTATATTTGCTTTATTTTAATTAATTAATTTAATTTTAAGCTTCTAAATACCAGCATGCTTATTTCCGGAGTCATAAACTTTACTCCCACAAATATGTTTTGGTGATGCATGCTTTGTCAATCAGCACATCCTCCTGCTCTGGGCTACACACTGAGGGGAGCTACATGAAGGAAAATGACAACCACTGTACTGTAAACACGAACAGTAGCATGGAACTATCAATACCAAGAAAGAAACAACCATCAAAAAAGACAAATCTCAGTAACAGAAATCTCAAAAAAATATCTAAAAATGTCAGCTACAAATTAAGAAGACATGGACATTGGAATGATTGTGACAGTTAATTTCATATCTAAACATCTAGGAATTGAGAACCCATGACTTCACTAGAACTTGAAACCTTAGTGTCTATGTTTGGGTCATAATCATCACCTGGTTCTCTTGATGATCTGGAGGAATAGACTATCTGGTTTGCTTAAGTATTTGTATTAATATCAAATGAGGCACAAGTTCTCAAAACTGGATAAATTGTAAAATATATGTTCCTTCTTCCTTCTTCTAATTCATCTCTTTTGCCATTGGCATGTATTAATTTACTTTTAAACATTTTCTTTTCATCAAATGTAAAATTAATCTATAATATCTACAATGACATAAGTTCTATGTTAAGCACTGAAAATAAAGAGATGAATAATTCAGTCCCTTCCCTTACAGAGTTTATAACTTGACGGAAGGAGACGCATAAGTATGAAAAAATGCTACCAGTCTGAGGAAAGATTTTTTAAAAAGACAAAAGAGGCCTCTGGAGAGAGCGGGACGTCCGACTTCTGAGAGGTAACGCTTGTTGCGGTAACGACGAAAAAGAATTAAATATGGGTGATGTTGAGAAAGGCAAGAGGATTTTTATTCAGAAGTGTTCCCAATGTCACACCGTGGAAAAGGGAGGCAAGCACAAGACTGGACCTAATCTCCATGGTCTCTTTGGGCGGAAGACAGGTCAGGCCGCTGGATTCACTTACACTGAAGCCAATAAGAACAAAGGCATCATCTGGGGAGAGGATACACTGATGGAATATTTGGAGAATCCCAAGAAGTATATCCCTGGAACAAAAATGATCTTTGTCGGCATTAAGAAGAAGGGAGAAAGGGAAGACTTAATAGCTTATCTCAAAAAAGCTACTAATGAGTAATAATTGGCCACTGCCTTATTTATTACAAAACAAATGTCTCATGACTTTTTTATGTGTACCATACTTTAATAGATCTCATACACGAGAATTTACATCATGAATGACTGACAGAATATTTTGTTGGGCAGTCCTGATTTAAAACTAAGACTGGCTTGTGGTTAAATGAGTATGTTCAGTTTTTGGATTTTAATAGTAATTCCAATTTAGTAAATTCTATCACTGTTTACCCCTTCTAAAGATATGATTAGACTTCCTTAGTAATGCTAAATTTTTCGCAGAGATGGTGAGTGCCATCTTAAAACTTACTGGAGATTGGTTTTATATTTAGATTTATATAACTGGTTATGTGAATATATTTAAATATGGGGGGAATTCCTTTACTGTCTCAGAACCAAGCAAGATTCACCTGTGTTTTGTGTTCATTTGCCTCTTAAAGGCAAGGGTTGAAGATAAATGGGTAGCAATAGCTAGTTTATATTTTTGGCCTTAACTATGCCAATCTAATTAGAATTCCCTTATTTAAAATGGTTCCTTTTACTTATTGAAAGGCATTTTGTGTGGTTTATGTGTAATATCAAAAATTATTTAACACATCACACATTTTATAGATGATCTATAAGGTCACATGCTTTTAAAATAGTTGCCAATTAAACTTCCCTCTCGGATTCTTTACTATCTAAGTCAAACTAAGTTATAATTTAGGATTGTCTTTAAACAGCCATTCAGAAAAAAAAACTGTACAACTGCTGTGTATTTGTGATTGGGAATGGTGCTTTTGCCAACTTAAAAGGACTAAAACAGAGGAGATATACAGAAATTTAAAAATGATGTGTGATCATAAGACTTAAGATAATTAAAAAGAAAACCACAGATCATGGAAAAAAAAAAAGAGGCCTCTGAATGAGGTGCTAATCACACTAAAATATAAAAGATGAATAAAAATCTGGAATCTGGATTATGATTATTGTGGGGAGGTGTATGTGGTTTGAGGAAAAAGGCTTTAGTCCTGGTGCAACATCAGTGAGAAAAGAACTATCAAAATTCATAATGATACATTATGTTTTCATAGCTCTTTACAGGCTTACAAAGCCTTTTCTTTTTAGCCACAGCAACTAATAAAAATAGAAATGAGGTAACAGAATATCAGTCTCCAAATTCAAAACCAGCTACCAGTTTCAGCCACTCCAGCAGGGTTCTTAGAAATACAGATTATGTGTACCTGGCAAATACATGATATTTACTAAAAGCTAGGTCTATGTCTTAGATTAATGAGTATTTTTCTACCTGAGAGAATTGGACAGAGCCACAAAAATACCTTTGACATAGACCACTGGTTTTCATGCTGTGTGCACTAGGGCTTTAGTGTTCTCAAGAAGAACCATAGCATGGGACAATGAGCAACCAGATGTTCCACCACTCATCTCATGGTTGAATAAATGACTTACATGTTGGTTTATATATTGGACTTCTGTCTAAGATTTCACTTGTAAGTATTCTGCTTCCTGGATAAAACAAAAAAGAGAGAATGTAAAACCTATATATTGTCCCACTGCCCTATACATTGACTGCTTCCATTTTTGGAGAGGGCACGGGAATATTCTTTATCTCTAATAAAACTTAGAAAAATATCTAGAAATAACAAGAAAATCATGTAGTCACATATAAGGGAAACCCATCAGAAGAGCAATAGATTTCTCAGCAGAAATCTTACAAGCCAGGAGAGAATGGGATAATATATTCAAAGTGCTGAAAAAAAAAACATTATCTAAGAATACTATGCCCAGCAAACTTAGCTTTCATAATTATAGAAACAAAGACTTTCCCAGACAAGCTAAAACAGGAGATTCATCACCACTCACCAGCTTTACAAGACATGCTCTAAAGAGTCCTATACCTAAAAGCAAAAGGACAATATCTACAATTATGAAAAAACATGAAAATATAAAACTCACTGGTGGAGCAAACAACACAAATAAATAGGAAAAAAGAATCAAATGGTACCCACCAAACCATAAAGGCAAACAATGAGAAAGAGAGATAAAGGAACAAACGTTCTACAAAATAACCAAGAAACAATAAACAAGATGATAAGAATAAGTCCTCACATATCATTAGTAACCTTGAATATAAATGAATTAAATTTTCTACTTATATGGACTGGTTGAATAGATTTTTTAAAACATAACCCAACCAAATTCTACCTATAAGAAATTCACTTAATCTGCAAAGACATAATAAACTAAAAGTAAAGAGAGAGAGGGGGGAAAAAAAAGTATTTCATGCAAACAAAAACCAAAAGCAACCAAGAATAGCTATACTTACATCACACAAAATATACTTTAAGTCAAAAACAGTTCAAAGAGACACATAAAGTTCTTACATAATGATGAAGAGATCAATTCAGAAAGAAAGTATAATTCTAAGTGTATAGGCATCCAGCCCTGGAGCACCCAGATATATGAAGCAAATATCACTATATCTAAAGGGAGAGATAGACTCTAATACAATCATAATTAGACACTTTAACACTCCATTCTTAGCAATAGACAGATCATCTAGACAAAAAAAATAAACATTGGATTTAAGCTGCACTTTAGACAAAATGAAAGTAACAGCAGCATTCTAAGAGAATCATTTTATAAAACATTTTATTCAACAGCTGCAGAATACATTTTTCTCATCAATACATGAAATATTCTCCAGAATAGATCATATGCTAGGCCAAAAAACAAGTATCAAGAAATTTTAAAAATTCAAAATCATACCAAGTATCTCCTCAGAACGTAACAGAATAAAACTAGAAATCAATAATAAGGGGAACTTTGGAAACTGTAAAAATGCATGAAAAATAAACCACATGCTTCTGAACAACTATTGGGTCAATAAAGAAATTAATAAAGCAGTCAAAAATATCTTGAAACAAATGAAAATGGAAACACAACATACTAAAACGCAAAAGCAGTGCTAAATGGAGAGTTTATAACAATAAATATCTTCATCAAAATAGCAGAAAGATTTTAAATAAAAAATCCAATGATGTACCTACAGGAAATAGAAAAGCGAGAACAAATGAAACCTAAACTTAATAGGAGGAAAAAATAATAAAGATCAGAGAAGAGCCAAACAAAATAGAGATGTAACTAGATACAAAGAATCAACAAAACAAGATGTTGGTTCTTTAAAAATATAAAATTAATAAACTGCTATCAAGACAATGAATAAAAAAAGAGGAAAGGCCCAAATAAGTAAAATCTGAAATGAAAAAGCAGACATTACAACACTAGCACAGAAATACAAAAGATCATCAGATCCTAATGTGAACAACCATGTTCTAATAAGCTAGAAAACCTAGAGAATGTGGGTAAATTCTTGAAAACATATAACTTACCAAGATTGAACCAGAAAGAAACTTTAAAAACCTGAATAGACTAATATGAGTAACAAGACTGAACCAGTAACCAAAAAAAAAGTCTCTCCACAAAGAAAAGTGCAGGACAAGATGGTTTCACTGCCAAATTCTAACCAAACTTATAAAAAAGAATGAATATCAGTTCTCATCAAACTATTCCAAAATTTTGAAGAAGAGGAAATTCTTCCCAACTCATTCTATGAAGCCATCAACATTCTGATACCAAAACCAGAGATACAACAACAACAACAACAACAAAAAGAATCAGTCTATCAAAAAAAAAAAAAAAGAAGAAGAAGAAGGAGGAGGAGGAGAAGGAGAAGGAGAAGGAGGAGAAGGAGAAGGAGAAAGAGAAGAAGAAAATGACAGGTCAATATCCATGAGAAATATAGATCTAAAAATCTTCAATAAAATACTATAATAGCAGACAAAAACACATCAAAAGATTATATACCATGATCAAGTGAGATTTAGTCCAAGTATGTAAATATGGTTTAACCCTAATCAATAAACATAATAAATCACATCAACATAATAAAGAATAAAAACTATATGATCACAAAAAAAGCATAAAATTCAACATTCCTTCATGATAAAAATACTCAACAGAGGAAGCCTAACGGAACATATCTCAACATATTAAAGGCCATATGTGACAAATCCATGACTAATACATTGAATGGGGAGAAACTGAAAGCCTTTTTTGTAAGAACTGGACCACAACAAGGATGCCCACCTTCACCACTTCTATTCAACATAGGACTAGAAGTCCTACCCAAAGCAAGTGCTCCAAATTGAAAAAGTCAAATTGTCTCTCTATACAGATCATATTATCTTATACTTAGAAAAGCCTAACGATTACACCAAAAACCTTTTAGATCTGGTAAACAAGTTTAGTAAAGCTGCAGGATGCAAAATTAGCATACAAAAACCAGTAATGTCTTCATATGCCACTAATGAACTAGCTGAGAAAGAAATCAATAAAGCAATCTCATTTACAATAGCTATCCCGAAAAAATACCTAGAAATAAATCTAGACAAAGAGGTGAAAGACCTCTACAAAGAAAAGTAAAAAACACTGATAAAAGAAATTTAAAAAGATACAAACAAATGAAAAGACATCTCATGCTCACAGACTGGACAAACTTATATTGTTAAGATAATCATATTACCCAAATCAATACAGATTGAATGCAATCCCTATCAAAATAACAATAACATTTTGTATAGGGAAAGAAAAAAAAAAGCATATAAGTTTTACAGAACCAGAGAAGAAAAAAAACCATAAAATTTTTAGAGAACCAGAAAATATTCAAAGCAATCTTAAGAAGAAAGGATAAACCTGGAGGTATCACAATATCTGACTTCAAATGATATTATACAATTATAGTAATCAAAATAGTATGGATTGACATGAAAACTGACACATAAGCTGAAGGGATAGAATAGAGAGCCCAGAAAAAAATCCACATTTTTACAATCAACTGATTTTTTACAAAGGCACCAAAAACATACATTGGGGAAAGGACATCCTCTTCAATAAATGTTAATGGGAAAAGTGAATATCCATATGCAGAAGAGTGAAACTAGCAGCCTATCCTTCACCATATACAAAAATCAATTTAAGATGGATTGAAGACTTAAACTTAAGATCCAAACGTGAAAGAAATAGTGGAGATACACTAGGTCATTGGTCTAGGCAAAGACTTTATGTTTAAGACCAAAAATCACAGGCAACAACAAAAAATAGACAAATAGGACTGTAGTAAACTAAAAAGTTCTACACAGCAAAGGAAACAACAAAATGAAGAAACAACCTCTTGAAGGGAAGAATATATTTGCAAATTATTCATCTGATAATAGACTAATATCCAGAGTATGCAAAGAACTTAAACTACTCAACTCAACAATAAAAACACTGTTAAGGACATGCATTGAAATATATATGTAACCACATGGACTAGCCTGGAGAATGTTCTGAGGCAGACTGCTCTCAGGCTCCAGTGGGTGTACACTTTGGTTCCTTTCGTCCCAGAGGCAGCCTCCTCAGTGTGCTGTACCACACATTCCTCAGACATAGGACACTGCAGGGGCCAGACTGCTGGGGATGCTACTGGGTGCCACTGCTACCCTCTGGGTGGATGTGAGGAGATGTCAGTGGGACTTCAGAGATGTGGAGACACAGG